CCATATCATTATTATTTGCTTTTAAATATTAATCAGAAATAACCAACTTAAAATGGAAAATTTTAAAAGAAAAAAAAAAGGAAAAAAAGAAAAAAAAAGAAAAAAAAAAATCCCCCCCCCCAAATTTTTTGAACCCCCTTATGATTCATCACCCCCAAACTCAATCCCAGCCTTCCTTTGTGGTATGGTACCTTGCAGTACAATTTCAGAGAGATCCATACACTTGAACACAAGTTATTGTCTGGAAACTAGAAAAATGCTTATTTTTGGCCCCTTTTTGGCCCCCAATTCCTAAACGTTTCGGGCAATTACCCCCACTCAATTCCAGCTTTCCCTTTGTGATATGGAACCTTGTAGTACAATTTCAGAAATATCCAAACACTTACACACAAGTTATTGTCATGAAACTAGAAAAATGCTTCTTTTTTGCCCCTTTTTTGGCCCCTAATTCCTAAAATTTTGAGGCAATTACCCCCAAAATCAATTACAGCCTTCCCTTTGTGATATGGAACCTTGTGGTACAATGTCAGAGAGATCCATACACTTACACACAAGTTATTGTCTGGAAGTTACAAAAATGCTTATTTTTGGCCCCTTTTTTGCCCCTAATTCCTTAACTGTTGGTACCATAACCCCCAAAATCAATCCCCACCTTCCTTTCGTGGTATTGAACCTTATGGTAAAATTTCATGGAGATCCATTCACTTAAACTAAAGTTAGAGTGCGAAAACCAATGTGTCTTCGGACGACGCCGGACGACGACGACGACGACGACGCCGGACGACGACGACGACGACGACGACGAAGACGACGACGCCAACATCATACCAATATACGACCAAAAAATTTTCAATTTTTGCGGTCGTATAAAAAAGGAAAAAAAGAAAAAAAAGGAAAAAAAAAAATCCCCCCCCCCAAATTTTTTGAACCCCCTTATGATTCATCACCCCCAAAATCAATCCCAGCCTTCCCTTTGTGGTATGGTACCTTGCAGTACAATTTCAGAGAGATCCATACACTTGAACACAAGTTATTGTCTGGAAACTAGAAAAATGCTTATTTTTGGCCCCTTTTTGGCCCCTTTTTCCTAAACGTTTTGGGCAATTACCCCCAAACTCAATTCCAGCTTTCCCTTTGTGATATGGAACCTTGTAGTACAATTTCAGAAAGATCCATACACTTACACACAAGTTATTGTCATGAAACTAGAAAAATGCTTGTTTTTTGCCCCTTTTTTTGCCCCTAATTCCTAATATTTTGAGGCAATTACCCCCAAAATCAATCCCAGCATTCCCTGTGTGATATGGAACCTTGTGGTACAATGTCAGAGAGATCCATACACTAACACACAAGTTATGTCTGGAAGTTACAAAAATGCTTATTTTTGGCCCCTTTTTGGCCCCTAATTCCTTAACTGTTGGTACCATAACCCCCAAAATCAATCCCAACCTTCCTTTTGTGGTATTGAACCTTATGGTAAAATTTCATAGAGATCCATTCACTTAAACTAAAGTTAGAGCGCGAAAACCAATGTGTCTTCGGACGACGCCGGACGACGCCAGACGACTACGACGACGACGCCAACGTCATACCAATATACGACCGCAAATATTTTTTGCGGTCGTATAAAAACTGGTTGAGCTTCTTTTATATATCAAAAAGATTAATTTACTAGAAATTTTTATTGGGAGATTTCCCAATGAAGCTACCTTGGCTTTAACCAAAAACATGACTTTTCCTGCTTTTTCGCTAGGTCTTCTAAACTTGAATAAGGTTACCATTACTCTTTATAAGAGTTCCTAGGAATTTATATTCTAATACATTTTTCATCATATTACCATTGTAGTTATGAAATGAGCTAACACTTTTGGCAATATGTGGCTGTAAAATCATGGTTTTAGTTTTATTTATATTTATAGTAAGTTGCCAATTTTCACTGAAACTACTAAATTTATTTATACTGTTCTGCAGACCTTCTTTACTCAAAAGTAGATCATCTACAAAAGATAGTGGTCCAAGGGTTGAGTCTACTAGTTTTGGATAACAAAAAATTATTACCATACATTGAGAAAACCATTTCTATAGATAACTCTAAATACATGTTCATAGAAAATGGAATTTATTACAATGTATTAAAATAAAATATGCTGGATTGGTCCTGGACCCGATTGATTTTAATATTTCATTTACTGTTATCTGTTTTTATCCTTTTTCAATTCCTTGTTATCTGTTTTAAGCCAAATCAATTTGCTGTTTTGCTGTTATTGGATCCCCCCTTGCCCCCCCTTATCAAGCTAAATATAGTAAAAACAATTATTCCTTATGGGTCAATAGGTTTTTGTCAGGAAACCGGCGAAGAGTTGCTGTCCTGACCAGGACAGCAATATTCATCATATCTATTATAAATAAACTTAAAATGAGTCAAATAAAAATCCTGTCCACATGCACAACAATATTTGTCAATCTGATTAAAATTCTGATCCATCATGACACACATACTTATATAACCAATGGGATGTATGAAATTAATTTACTTTGACATATTCATTGACTAACATTTATTCCTATGTCGGAGGTCAGAAGAGAATATTTTAGTAAGTGCATTAGCTTGATGTTGAGATGTTTAGAGTATTGCTATCTCCCATAAAAAAAAGGTTGCATGAACCATTATTTTATATTCCATCTACTTTTATTGCAGTTCATATCGCATATACTAAGTGACGTATAAGGTCAAAAAACACTGTACAAGAATGTGGGATAGTGAATATATTTGCTTCCTACTATAAAGAGGGAGAAGGCGTCAATAAAACACACCACATCATGACAAAAAAAAAGAGCGGCATAAAGCAAAACAACAGACTACAAAAATTCCCTAACTTAAGATTGAGCGATACAAACCCCGACGAAAAAAGGGTGCGTTGGAAGCATACGCAGTTGCTGCACCAATGTTGGCACCTATCGTGTAACTTATTCGTAAGTAAAAATTCGGTATAAACGAGTCCCATACAATATGTCACAATCGAGGAAAACGAGATTGAAGCCTTGACACTGAGTTAAGTAGTCATCTGTGAAACAAGAATTCCACAACTGTCAACCAATTCATGATGACGTCCGTTAAACTTTCGAAGTCACGACTTCTAATTTACCATTCATGATTTGGCATACTTGGTTCAATAGCTTTATTTTAAGCAGCAACCCTCTACCAAGGGAATCATGATCAAACACAGGAATATTGTATCAACTGGGAGCTATTTACTCTATTTGAAGGCGCTGCTGGACTGTTGCTACACAGAAATGGAAATTATGTCACTCATTGACTTCGTTAAGTTTTTATGTTCGTCAACAGATCTCATATACTTTTTGACCTACAATCATATAACATGGTGAAATGGTTCATCTTATTGTTACACAAGCTTCCCACTAAAGAAGGTCACTGAAATATATCTTAAGCATCATTTGACCCCTATTGTTTCATTCACTTCAGATCTCAAGTACTTAGCGGTCGTCTACTCAATTTGATTAACGACTGGTGTAAAATACATGTTTGTCAGTGTCGAATATCTGCTTACTCGGACTTTTATAGTGTTTCACATGCAAGTGCAAATCTGAGACATTAAGTGACCAACAATCATGCAATGCTGTGAAAGGATGTATCTTGTAGAGCATAGCGTCTACTAAAAAAAGTATGTCAACTTCAATGCTTTACAGTCTACTGCTGCTATAATTTCTAAGATGAACCTTACACTAAAGTTACACCGCCATTGCAGAGTTCTTGTTATAATGATAGATTAAAGAAAAGCATTGAAGTGGAAATACTTTTTATAGCTGCTGACTAAATAAAGTCTTTCTATTATGCACTTTTTTACAGAAGTGAGGAATAACTATGTTTTTTCAACATTGAATAAAATGTTACACAGGACACAGCTTGATACTACCGCAGGTTGACCCCTGAACAGTTATGCCAAGTATGGAAATTACATTCAAGCTTGATACAGCTCTGAATTTGGATTGTGATTAAATATTTGATACAGCATAGGTTTTTGACACAGAATGAATGTGTCCAAAAACTGAAAAATTTGTAATTGGACTTTTACCTATTATGGTCCAATATCCAAAATCTATACACTTTGTTAGATTCAGCATAACCCCCAAATTCAATCTAACCATCCTTTTAATTTGTAGTATGGAACTTTGTGGTACAATTTCATACAAATACATACACTTTTTTCCAGTTATTGTCTGGACACCAGAAATATGTTTGCTATTGGCCCCTTTTTGGCCCAAAATTCTTAACCAGTTAGGGCCATAACCTCCAAAATCAATCCCAACCTTCCTTTTTTTGGTATGGAACCTTGTGGTACAATTTCATAGAGATCCATACATGATGACATCAACATACCATTATGAAATGTGCAGCCGTATAAAAATTCAAAGTATGGGAAACAGAAAGTAGATTTCTGACAGATCTGATGCTCTCTCTTTAAAAATTATAAATGTCAAGCTGATGATGAACTGGGAAGATGTGTGAGGAATAATTTTAAATTAAAACAACATAATGAAAAATTTATAGTATCCGCAAACAGTAAGTAGGTCATTCTGTGTGGCAGTACATGATAACTAGAGGCTAAAGAGCCTGTGTTGCTTGACAAGGTCTATGTGTATCTTCAACATTGTTAACTACAATGTAGAATAGATTTCATGACAAAAATCTGTTTTTTGTTGATCTTGATTTGCTGATCATTTTTTCTGTTAACAGTTGTATGCAAAATTTTTACCAACATCTGTGACATAGCCCATTTACTGTTCCTTGACCTTAAGCTGAACTGACCACTTGCAAGAAAATTGTTAAAATATTGTGGCGTATGGTAAAAGTAAAACCCATATATTAAAACAGTGGCAGATCCATAAATTTTCATTAGGGGGCACCCTGCCCCCCTAAATCCACCTCTGTAAAAGATTGAAGGAGATAATATATGAAACATTTCAATATCAAAACATAGTTTAAAATGAAATGAATTGTATTTTTATTCATCACAAAATATATGTTCAATTCCTAAGATGATAACAGACAGCACTTTTAAATAATAAATTGAAATAAATGTTATTATGTTTCCATTGGTTCAGCTCGTACAGTTGTTCTAACAACATCAAAATCCAGCTTCTTCTGTGTTGTTTTCAATACTGCAGTTGTACCTTTCTTGTATCTATATACTCCTTGTCTGAATAAAAAGAAAAACAATGAGTTACTTAGGTAGTATCAAATTATAGTGCATGAACAAGAATTTATAATCTTGTCATGGAAATAAATAGAATAACCATACAGTGTCTCGAAATGTAAAATTTATTTGTACAAGACTGAGAAACAGGTAGAAAGCAAAGTCTTGCAGAGCATTTCTATCCTGTTTTGAGCAGAGTGCAAATACAATTTGAAGCGGAGGACATAAAAATTCTATGAACCTGTAGTCTCTATTAACGTCACAAATAAAACTCTACATTTAGTCATTATCAGCGTCTAAAACAAGGCAATATACGGTCAGTGATCACAAACGAATATATGGTCAATGCAATTTAACTGCGCAAATAGCACAGTTGCAGTTTAAATGTAAATACAATGGTTTTCAAGATGCTGTTTGCTAAATATTAATATTAAAAATCAACCAAGATATCTCCTTTTCACTTATACAAAAATTCAAATCATTTAAGGATGTTTCCTAGTTATATCAGCATTAAAGTTTTAATCATTTTGAACTCCTTATTCTATTTTAATAGGATTTGAAAATTTTGCAAAGTATCCTCAACTTTCTAAATCCTTGTTTCTTCTTAATAGATTTTGACAGTGAAAACATCTATAGAAAAAGTATTTACAAAAAAGATGAAAAAGAACTCGTGTTTCCTGCAAAGTTTCTAAATGCTTATTTCTAAATTAAACACACATTTTTTTTCTGGTCTAGTACTTCTACTACTAAATGTCTTTCAATATATAACATCTATTTTGGAACCTTGTTCTTTTTAAACTTACTAGTGAACTTCCTTAAGGAAAAAAAAAAAATTTCAAACAAAAAAGTGTACATGAGCACAAACGAGATGTTGGTAGGGTTAAATGAGATACAACAACTAAATACGTTTAACATAACCCTATGTCTGTCAGAGTTATGATTCTGTCCCATTACTTGCAATGGAACACTCCTGGCAAATTTTTAAAGGTTCAGAAAAGAATATATTTTAAATTACAGAAAAAAATGGGATTATTTAAATAAATAAAAGTTTCAAATAACAATAAAAAAGGCAAAAGACATGAAGAAACTCTACATTATTAGCATATACTTATTAAACCACATGTCCCTGTGATTAGGGAGAAATAATTGAATTTTCATTGGGGCATGGATTTTATTTGAAAAATAAATCAAGAATCCAAAACATCTACACTTTGTGAACAACGTAAATTTTGAAGATATGGTGAAAAGTCAGGATGATTCAGTAGTAGCAGTCAATGTTTTGGTTATTGTTTGATATTAATTTTGAAAAAGTTGGGATTGAGCTGCTCATCATTTTAAAAGATTAATATAATGTGTGTTATTTGTCTTTGTCTCAACCCAGATTTAAGCTTTGTCTATGTATATTGACTCATGATTTGATTTGTTCTTCCTTTTTTTAACCATTTCATTGCAAGTCTAGCTTTGTAAAGTGTTATTTATATAAAATAGAAAAGCGCATAAGAAAGGAAAAACAACATTGCCAAAAAAAAAAGAGGCAGTATTATTTAGAGCCAGTGATTATCCAAGGCAAGCTGAATTGTAGTTGTCCTACATACAAGTTACAAGTTAAGCATTGGCAATTTTAAAGTTTTTTTTTGCAAAGGCCAAGGGAAGAAAAAAACGCCAAGAAAAATTTATCAAGGAAGGGGGGATGGGACTTATCTAGTCATTCCAACAAGAAGCACTGGAAACATTGTATTATTTCTTTTTAAAACACATTACTGGTGAATGCTTTAATAGATTTTAGTTATAACAGAGCTCAATTGTTTATAGAAAAACAGAAATTGATTTGAAGGACTGTTCCTACATAAAGTATAACAAATAACAACAAAACAAAAAATTAATATGATGAATCTCAACATTTAGATTACTGTAAATTCAGAAATTATTGTGTGCATTTATTATTGCTTTTTTTGAAGAATGGACAAAAATGTGAAATCAATTATTGCGATTTCAGGAAAATATTTGTAGACATATATGTACCAGATATCAGAATGTGAGTTCTTATTATTGCGATACTCACCCAGTCGCATTATTTGCATTAATAAAAACCTCACAATAATTTCTGAATTTACAGTACTTTACATTGTACAATACCTACCATAATGAATGTGTTTATCATTAGTTTGAAATAGACTAAAATGTTTCTTTTATATTTTCTGTATTGAAATACCATATAAATTTACTTAAGGGATCACAAAAGATCTTTCACTTACTCTGTTCATGTCATTGATGTTAAAATCCAAAGAACAACCGCTGATATCATAGTACAGGATGGTATGATTTCTAAATAATAAGTAATTCAATAACAGGAAGCCGTCTTTAATGTGGTATTTTTTGGTCTAGTTTTTCTTGCATCTGTATTTATGTTGTCTTATGCTATTATCATAGTTTTAATAGTGCTTGTTTTGATAACTTTTGAACTGATATGTAAGGCATATTAGTGTATATTTACCTTCTGTTATTCTAGTCATGCCAGTGATGGAGATTTTAAAGGGAAAATACCAGGAGCTTAAAAAACTACCTTACATGTTTATATGCCTGCTAAAAAAGTGACAATCTGGCAAGACAATAAAGATTTCTTGGGTAATGTTAAAAATTGAATCAAGTGTAAGCTGGAATTACCTCTGTCCTTTAAGATTAGCTTCGTCATAAGGTCTTAAATATTCTACTTTATCTTTAGTGATCACACATAAGTCAATATTGCTACCAGATCCTAAATCATTGAAGATACCACCAGCAATGGCATTTCTTACTAACTTCATTGCATCTTCTTTCTGGAAAATATAAAATTCAAAATTTAGTTAATTCAGGGGGTAAGTTTGAAAGAGGATAGTAAGGTTTTACAATTGATTTGATGTATTGTAAAATTCTCATTTGTAAAACTATGGATAAAGCCTTGGAAATTAAAATATATCTAATTGAGCTAATACTCTTCTGTTTGTAAAATACTGACAACAAAAAAGTCTTTGAATTGCAAACCAACAGAACTAAATTAGATTATGCAAAAAATTGAATGAATGTTGACAAATGTAGATGATTAAGGGGGTAAGTTTTAAAGCAGATGATTTGATGCATGAAAAGACTAAAGACACTCAAAAATCTAATCTCAATATAGTTTATTTATTCTACATTGGCTAGAGGTATAGGGGGAGGGTTGAGATCTCACAAAACATGTTTAACCCCTTTGTTAGTCTTGTATGTGTTTTTAATTTTAGTTCATTTATATGTTTCAGGGTTTAAAGTGACGTCCATTTTCACTGAACTAGAACACATTTTTGTTTAGGGGGCAGCTGTAACCCGCCTCCGGGTGCGGGATTTTCTTGCTGTGTTGAAGACCCATTGGTGGTCTTGGGCTGTTTTCTGCTTTTCGGTCAAGTTGTTGTCTCTATGACACATTCTCCATTTCCATTCTCAATTCTATCTTCTCAAACAAATCTGGTATATTTGTATTTTTACATTTTCATTGCATGTATTCACAGTATTTATAATTGTAATATTAATTGAGTAAATGACCAAACTCACTTTACACTTAAAATTATATAAAAATACCTGTCCAATATGTATATATAATTATAATATTAATTGAGTATTTGATAAAACAGTTTAACATATAAAAGGTTATACAAATACCACTATGTATGAGTTGTGAGGTAGATGGGAAGATTTTCTAGTGTTTATGTTATCTACTTTTAACCTTAATATTTCTATCCATTGGAGTAAAATGCATGCATACTTTTAAAATAAAATAACTAAGATTTTAACTGGAATAATGTCTACCTCCATATTTGGTTTAAAACCATCTTCAAATACAGCCATAGCAGCAAGGGATCCAGAACCTAGATAATACAATACAAATATTATTTATATTTACATTTTCTTGAAGCAGTGAACAATTTTATAATGAATCCAGAATTCAAAATCTCAGGATAATCAATTGTACAAACAGAAAACTTGGTCCAGCCCCTATGTCTTTGACAGTAGCAATAAATCTTATAAGAAGGTTGTATGCCTATTTTACTTCTGCACTTTGCAAGGGCTCTTCCATTAAAATGTGGGAGGATAGAAAGGGGGAGTTTTATTTTTTGACATGGTTTGTGTCTTTTCTGGTTGTATGCAACATTAAACACAGTATGTTGTTTGTGTGGGGAATAATGGAAATCCCTTTTATCCCTCCCACATCCATTTAAATGGAACAGCCAGAGAAGTGTACATTTTAAACTTAATGAGATTGTGTAAAATAGCAAGTAGAAATAAACAGCTGCGCCATGAGCGCATGATATGCCCGTCGTCTTGTGTGTGAATTTTTATGCAATAAGCATAAATAGTTTCTGACATACGGCGTGACATGCGAAAACCCCCTTTTTTTTTTTACAAAAAACTCAATATCTCTAAAATAAAATTTTGAATCAAAACTTAAAAGTATACAGATCTTAAGATTAATATAACTAAGAAGTGTGTAAAATTTTAAGCAATAATCATAAATCGTTTTTTGAGATACGGCGCAACATGTAAAAACGACCCTTTAAAAAAAAAAAAATCAATATCTCAAAAATAAAATTTTGAATCAAAACCAAAAAGTATTCAGATCTTTAGATAAATATAACTAAGAAGTGTGTAAAATTTTAAGCAATAATCATAAATCATTTTTGAGATACGGCGCGACATGTGAAAAACCCCTCCCCCTTTTCTTACAAAATACTCAATAACTCAAAAATAAAATTTTGAATCATCACCAAAAAGTATACAGATCTTAAGGTTAATATAACTAAGAAGTGTGTAAAGTTTTAAGCAATAATCATAAACTGTTTTTGAGATACGGCGCGACATGTGAAAAACCCCTCCCCCTTTTTTAACAAAATACTCAATAACTCAAAAATAAAATTTTGAATCATCACCAAAAAGTATACAGATCTTAAGATTAATATTACTAAGAAGTGTGTAAAGTTTTAAGCAATAATCATAAATTGTTTTTGAGATACGGCGCGACATGTGAAAAAAAACACACACCTGTTTTAGTTACTAAGTCCCGTAACTCAAAAAGTTTTAATCTTATTTTCACCAAAAAGTATACAGATCGTTTGACCATCATAAGAAACAACTATGTTAAGTTTCATGAAATTTGGATAAGTCATTCTCAAGTTACGGTGCGACATGTTTACGCCGGACAGACAGACGGACAGACAGACGCCGGACATTTGTATAACATAATACGTCCCGTCAAAAATTTGACGGGCATATAAAAATTATTGATCTTTATACTTAACCAAGGGTCCGGAAACTGTCATATTTGCCAGTCATGACCTAAACTGAAAGCTGTTTTGTCCTAAACGATAGATTGGGATTTAGGACAAATTTTATTTTTTTACAGAAATAATTTCGGTCATTTCATTGAGATCCAGTTTCTTAATCGCCATTTTGCACTTGTTTTGTTTTGTTATCCCTTTCCTGTAATAAAACTGCCACGCCAGTATAGTATGATAATCCTGAGGACTCTCCTAATAACTATATTAATGCCTCCATGAAATATTGGCTTATGATCGCTAATCACTTTTTACCCGTTTTTAATTCACACCTGACATTGATCACAAGCTCAGTTCTAATATCATAAAGAAGTTAAAATTCCATGACAACTGTCTCCATCATTTAATTCCTTTTCAGCAAAGACAATCGTCAATTCTGATTTAAAAATTAAAACTTAATTTAATTTACGTAGAAAAAAGTAATTTTTCACGAGTTACAAATGTGCTTTATTCACTATGCGTAAAATTGTCTTCAGCAGATTAGACACTTAATCGTAAAATGCAAAATGATTTCATGCTAAATTAAAACAATTGCAACTATTATCTGAAACATTCAAATACTATTAAAGTTTCTAAAATTAAAAAAAATGTGATTTCCTGTCAATTTGATAAACACAACGAATCCTGGAATCCAATGAAGTATTGCCGCAAAATTTTCGGTTTTAATTTCATCTTCAAAATCAAAGGAAATGTTAGCGATGTCTGAGAACTTAAGCATTTTGAGTCATTAAAATCATTTCAATTTTAAACTGTTGCCTTCCCTAAACTGTTCTTGAACGTTTTTAGAATAATGGTAAGAAAATTCATGAAGTAAATGCGTTGAAACAGTCAATACAAGTTCGTTGATGCTGTGAATCTGGTGTGATTTCGACAATTTGAAAAAGGGCACCAACATTTAAGTTATCTGAAAATGACTGAAATTGTGTGAAAATTTTTTTCAGATCCTTGTACTTAACACAATGGAAAAAATATATAATTTCATATGTCACCACAACATTTTTTAAGTAGACTGGTAGGTATACCTACCCATTGTAACATAGGGTAACTTGTCTGTAGATCCATGAGGGTATACACTGTATAAGTGTGGTCCAGTACTGTCAACTCCTCCCAGTACCAGGGCAGCACTGATGTGACCATGGTATCTGCACATAGAGAACAATGTATTTTTAATCTCCACTTCTTTGATTTAACATAAAACACATATTATGAGGATGTAAAAAAAATGACAAAGTTTTTCATACTTTGCCAACATGTACATTGTGTAGTTTATATCATGCTATCTGTAAAAACATAATAAAGTTATAGGTCAAAGTTTGTTTTCTAGCCACAGGTTATGAAAAATTGGCACATTTTGTAAGGATTATACAGGGTAACAGCTTTATAATGTGAAAGGGAAGAAACTTAATGTAAAAAAATCTAATATGAGAAGGGCGCTCTGATAAATTAATGTAAAGAAAGAAAAAAAAAAGGGAGGAGGGTCACTGTTATCTCCCCTTATAGGCTAAAGTTTAATAATTTTTATCATCAAAAAATATTGCTTTTGTGTAAAAAGTCGTAATGATAAGATAAAATTACAATGTAAACAGTTGACATAATTTTCTTCGTTTAACATTGCTTGAATAAAAAATGAATTGCATCCGTAAAATTTGCTTTTATCAAATTAAAATTTTGACTGATTGTTTTCTGCTATTTTCAATCCAAGAATAAATGTTTTTTTTTTATTGCTAACAAATAAAAAGCCCACAATGATGGAATAATAACAATCAAATTGCATGACTCTTGAAGTGATTCTATGTAAAAATAATTCAGTGTTAAAACTTTTATGGAGTCAGGACTAACTTCTTCTGGATCATCAATTGTTGACATTCATAATAATAATAATGCTGTAAAGAAATTGTACTTCAAATTTTGTGAATTTTGTCTTTCACTTTTTCAAGTTACAATTATGAATTAAAGCAAATAAAGGGTATATGTCAAAGACACAAAAAAACAAAACAAAAGGCATCTCAAGGTCATCAAACTGTCTGCTGCCTCTACACAAAATTAAGATAACTAAGGTCATTCCACCCATTGTTTACCTTGACGCTTGATCATTGTAATAAGAGAAGTAACATACAAAAATATCCATGAAATCAGTACAGAAAAGGCACTCAACTCTAAAATACCTGCATAACAACAATACTTAATTATAAACTCAGATAAGTCTAGCTCAAATGACTTAACCTAATGATACTGAAATATTGCTGTTCTACACTCTTAATGAGTCTGTTTTGGTATGATGTACATAATCTAGTGTTAATTTCAGATGTTAAATTGCCTTTAAACTGTTGTTCATAAACAATTCTTCCAGGTAATGGTTATGTTGACCTTACTATATGCTTTTTGCCCTTGCAAATTGTTAAAGGCCATATGGTGACATGTATGTCAACTTTTGGGAAACCCTTTGTTTTTTGGATTGCTGCCTCAGTGACACCATCCATAAAGTATGAGGTATGATAAGAGATATTATTTGACAACTGAATAGATGCAAAAATGGTAAAATTATTTAAGTTTTTCCAAAGCATGTAAATTTTATTGATAAATGAGCAGGTTGATAAAATCTGTAAAATTTAGTACAGAAAGGTCACTTGTAATGTATGTCTCTTAAAATCTTCTAAAGCATTATTTTAACAAGATTGTGATAAATAATAATTTTAAACCTTATTTTTTATAAATTTATAGTTTTTTTAGCAGGGTTCTCACTAGGAATTTTTCATGGTGAGTCCTGGGACTCATCACTTTTAGAAATGGTGAGTCCCAATAGATTTTGATGAGTCCAGGATGGATGTAATTTTTTGTGTCTTAATATGATGAAATAAAACTAAAACAACGCGTGTTGGATAGGTAGTTTTTATTATATCAATAAAAGTTATGATCTCTTAAGTTATTGTTCATTACAACATGTATAGACTGCCATTTCCTCTCTTTGTTTGGTTTAGTTGGTGTAGTGACTGAAGTTGTTGTTTCTGAAGATCTTTCTATGTCTATCAATTCTTGGTGTAGTGGGTCATTGACTCTTGGGTCTTTTACTTGGTACAGATGATTCAATGTCATCAGGTTCCCTTTTGAAGGACTTTAACTTTGACTGACTCTGACATTGTGATACTGATGTCATTTTTTTTTAACAATCCAGTATTTATAAGAAATTGGGATTGCATGAACACGGACTTGTCAGTCACAGTTCATATTAATTATTATTAATCAATTTTAATTATATTAAATCATTGAGTTAATAATCACTTGATGTTCGCATCATGATAATTTTTATAATCTTTGATAAAAACAAGCAAATCTAAAGTGAACACCGTAACCGTAAATCATTTTTTAATCGGATTTGTTTCAATTTCAAAACATTTTTCACCTTTGTTTACGATCGCGATGTTCAAAATGCACAATACGAGAAAAATGTTAAATCATTTGAAGACCAGTAAAATTATTCTTATCCGTAAAATATTTAATCTACACTGTTCTACGATCTATTTTATGAATAGAAGCAACAGTTAAGAAATTCTATATCATTTCTTTTCAAGTTATCAAATTTTTTTTACTTTCTTTTGTTTCAATCGATAAGTACGTGATGTTCAACACGTGGAAATATTCAAGCTTTTCAAATACTCGTAAAATTTTAAAAAATCGGTAACTATTACATATTTATAAATACGTTTAATTACAAAAATAGTTATCAGTCAACAAAAATATTTATCTACGCATTACTTCATTTTTCAACATCGACTTCCGGTTTAGTTTCCTGTCTAAACAATGTCGACGATCATGAATCTTCTAGGCAAAACGATGTGTTTGGGACTCAGGGGATACAAGGAGGACGCGTCCCACGGCCTCACAGGTTTAAAAAATGATGCGTCCAGCTCGATTTTCATGAGTCCAGGACGAATATACGCGTCTTAACAAGAACCCTATTTTAGGATTCACAGTTTCTTCTTTTAACAAGTATAAAATATAGGTTGACAGTATAAGTGTTTGGTTAAGCCACAATGCCCACATACAATGCATTTTGACAAAACAGTATCATGCATCTTGCATATATATATGTATATAAAAATGAATTCATATCAATGTGAAAGAAATATGTAATGAAATATTAAAACAATATACATGTAGTAATACACATTAGAATCCTGGATTGTCTTATTTCTGTAACTAACCTAAACAGCATCTGTTTGAGAAGACGATTGGCTGTACACACACGAGGAATTCTGTTAGTATTAAGACGATGAAGTTCAAGCTGAGATGAAATCATATTAGTGGTCATTTCTGTATCAGCAGCAGTTCCAGCTCCACAACAACTGTAAAATACATAAACAAATGTATACTCTGTGCATTAACCACTAGCTATTTTTATTTCCTGAGTATGCATTCTACAGCTTGTAACAATATAAATACAGATCTATCCACAGTTATACCACCTGATGCTCCAATCTTTTTACCAATATTTGGTTAGGGCTGTTCCAAAATTGATCGTGGTGGTGAGGGGATGGGAGCAATCAAAATAGTTAATTGTGGGGGATGTATTTTCCTTAGAATTATTGAAGAATTATATGTTAAACGGAAATTTTATATTGTGGGTGGTTGGGTTCTAACAAAAGTGTCTCCAATGCCAGTGCCCCCTCCCCAATGTGTTTGATTCTCGAACTAGCCTTTTTTCATGTTTTTCAAAAAAACAAATACAAATAATAAATCAATTATTTTGAACGTTTCCCAATACCCACATATAATTTCTATTCATAAAGAAGAATGCATATTTGGTAGATTGTGAATTTAAAATGCAAAATGGCTAGGTTGAAGTTTCTGTAGTATTTTGAAGCAAATTTTTGTGTATTTTCATTGAAACTAAGATATCACTGAAATATTAACCTTTTGAAAATAGGCACTGTTCATTCATTCATACTTGAATAAATAAAATTAACATACTATATATTTGGTGATATGTAATGGATTTTACTGCAGTTTTTGTCAGCTACAACAGTATCTTCTGTGGCTCTGGTATCTGCTCCTAGTACTACACCATCCTACAATTATACAGTAAGGAAATATACTGATCAAAGATAAGTAAGTTCATGTTCATGATATTGATGGCCATGAAAATCCATGAATATGCAACTGATAGTATAGAACCAAATCTGCAGAAAAATATTTTTTATCATGTTGATTTGTCATGCCAAAACAAAACAAAATTTGTTATAAGGATGTTTACAGTTAAAATTTAAAATAACAATATTTTCTACTTTCTGTACAGTGACCTATAGTGTTTAACTTTTTTGTCATTTGGTCTCTGGTGGAGAGTTGTCTCATTGGCAATCATACCACACCTTCTTATTATTATCTTGTCTTAGAAATGCAGTACAATTAACAAGAATTTGAAAACACTTGTGAGAAGTTTATCTAAAATGTATATTTTCATTTAAATATTGAAAAGTAATAGGGTTGCTAGGCAATTTTTATATCATCGCATAGGAAAAGGATTAAAGGGTTACAATATACTAAGGCAAATAGGAAAAACCTAACATCCTTTATAATGTAATCTTAGTTATCATGTCATTATGATTTCATTGCAATTATTAACTGTGACTCAGTTTTTGATTTCAAAAACATTGATCCCATTCTATGACCATTATATTTTTTTTGTAACAGCATGTATCATCATTTTAACTCTTAGAGTCTTACATCTTTCCATATTGCTCACAAATCATGGGGATTTTTCTACCCAAAATTAACAGCAAAATATTGACCCTTTCCAAATTTTCCCCCATTTTCCTCAATGCAGATATAGAATAATAACCTACTGTAACTATCTGTTAGAAGTGACAAATGTTATTAAAAATATCATTTGGGTGGTGATTGTTTTGATTATAAAATGATAAATAAACTATATTTATTCTAGCATATACATGTACTATAATACATAGTTATGCCTTATGGGAACTGTCATGACTGTCAGATTTTCAGATTGATGATTGCTGAATTAGACATTGATCGATGCTTATATTCTAAAAATATCTCAACTCCAGTCTTTGTGAATAACAGCATTCTAAGATATCTATAGGGCCTATATTTTAACTACATTGTATATATGCAGGAAGAGAATGCATATATGATATAATATATTTAAAATAAATGGAGAATGTGTCCCCATGGACACAGATGATGCCCCCACTTGCATACAACATTATAAAGGGACATATCTCAAGAACAATAAAAGTGATGCTACCCAAATTTGTACTTGATCTTAGTTTTGTGGTAATAAGTATTGTGTTTAGGTCTCATGTTTGGTTGGGGAAAACTTAAGTTACAGAACAGAAACTAAAAATTTTGCAATTTTTCGATTTATAAAGGGGCATAACTCAATAATGGTTAAAGTGACACTACCCAAATTCAACTTGATCTGTGTTTTATCAGTGGAAAGCAAAATTAAACATTGCATTGATTGTAGTTGATTCAACTATAATCATTAACAAAGGAAGATAACTCCAATTTTAAAAATTACTTGAACAATGACATCATTGATATTTTATTTTTAGAAAAAAAATGAAAAATTTAGCAATTTTTCCATTTGTAAAGGGGCATAACTCTGAAACAGTAAAAGTGACGCCACCAAAATTCAAACTTGATCTGTGTATTGTGGTAATAAGCATTGTATATAAGTTTCATAACATTTGGTTGAGGCAAACTTAAGTTAGAGAACGGAAATGAAAAATTTTGCAATTTTTCCATTTATAAAGGGGCATAACTCTAGAACGGTTAAAGTGATGCCACCAAAATTCAAACTTGATCTGTGTTTTGTGGTAATTAGCATTGTGTATAAGTTTGATAACATTTGGTTGAGGCAAACAAGTTAGAGAACGGAAACCAATTTTGGGACGTACGGACGGACAAGGGTAAAACTTAATGCCCCCTCCACTTCAGCGGGGGGATAATAAAAAATACAATTAATCATGTTAATATTACATTAACAAATTATCAAAACCACTAGAGACAAGATTTGACATGAAGAAAAGAATCCTCTTATTTAATAATTTATATGAATAGATTATATAAAAATGTTATTATTGCTATCATGCTCATAAGTAGTGTTATATTCGATTGATTGTTGTTGGCTGTATGTCTGTTGGCAAAATTTTTCATGAATATTCAGGCTGCGAATTAAATACGTGATTATACATAAGTGAAGTGATAGTGAGCTAAACATGTTATAAGTCCACTTGTCCTGCAACTACATGTATGAAAATAAATCCTTAAATTCTCACCTTATAAATAACACCACAGATTGTTGTTCCTGTCTTATAAGCAGTTGGTGGTTTAATACCTTTTTGTTCAAGCAATGAATTTCTGGAAAAAATCAATGTACACCATTTTAATTCAACAGTTATATTCATGGCATTGCTATGGCTTTCCATATATATACAAACATACGTGTGTATTATCAAATTCTAGTTTTTGGGATAAAGGTTGCATTCATGCAATCAAAACCCTTATGTGGCTGGCATGATAGTTATCAATTTTCCAGATGTTATCACTACTTTTGATATACACAAAACATAGTGCATTGATGACTGAGCACAACATTCTCTACATCCTACCTACATGGAACGGGGACCCAATTATTTCCCCCATTCATTGCCATTACTTCAATGCAATTTTTTCATAATTGAGGGCCAGATTTTTTATTTCCTATATCAGACTGCAAAATTTCAATTACTCAGTCATACTAGTAGACCCCTTCATGGTTGCTTAGAGAATTCTTGAAGGGTCATGACTGGCATTTAAGAGAGCAAAATTGTTTTGAGTATTAAAATAATAGGGTCATTTTATTTATAACTTCCTGGTTAAATCGAAAATAAAATTTGGACCATTTACTCAGACAATTATCCACAATGTGTGGTTTCAGAGGAGTTGCAATGACAAACTCTAGCAGTAGTATATTAAGGTGGCTCACCCCAATAAGGACCCCCGGTAGAATTTTTTTATTTTCACATATTTTGTGGATTTTTTTATGCTGAATCCAAAAATGCAAAGAAAAAAGGGGGTCACCAGGCTCGTTTTCCCCTCAAATGGAAGCGAAATGTGCGATTTTGACCCTATTTCCAAACTTTTACACCCTTTCAACAATAACGACTACATCAAATTCAAAGACTTTTAGAACCATGTCAGTATGATTATTATGTGAAAAAACAATTAAATTTGAAATGTAAACGTTACCCTTGGTTGTTTTAGACTTAAAAATCCTTTTATTTTCAGATTTATGTCTAAATTTGGCATTTTTTAATTTCAGTTTAAGGCTAAAAATATTGGTTAAATCGATTTTTCGTAAAATTTCCCCGGTAGATTTTTTTTTAAAACGGATATGTCAAAGCTATGAACTTTTCGAGCATTTTAAGGTAAAATAAAATGGGGGTCACCAGGCTTTTAAAAAAGTTACGAGCTTTTGTTTAACCCCTCTACCCCATGAGGTCTGATTTCAATGCACTCCATTAATTACTTTATTGTGATTTTTTTATTAATGTCTTTGAATAAATAATGTTTGTAATTATATCAATGGGCGAAAGCTGAATATAAATGTGATGAACATTTTACTGTTTGTTATAAAAAAGCGAAATTTTGATTATTTTGGTGAAATACGGTAATTTTGTCTGGCGCGAGTTGTTTCCCTCTAATCTGGCGCCATAATCGGACAACAGAAATTTCAGGGTCGCCATTGCTGAGCAGCATACTGCACTGATAAATACGACCATGTGCATGAATAACAGACATAGTGGCGAATAGACAACGATGAAGGTAGAGTCATTACAAAAGAAAACATAGATTTTAATATATTAGACAGCCAAATGTTATCAGTATCACGAAAAATACAAAGTGGGGGGTTATCTCAAAATACTCGATACTGTAGAAAATCACTGCGGCTGAAACCTTGCATGGGCTAAATTTCTGTTCTATGTATAATCGTTATAGCTGGTATCTTGTTTATGAGTTTACTTGACCCTTAACCTGTTAACTGGCAAGTTGTGAACATGTATAGCCTGTTTTGAAAAAATATCCGTGTCAAACAGTCAGAGGAGGGGATAGTCATGTTCAGCATCTCATGATCTGCGCTATCGTTAGCGTCAAGTGAGTCTTGATTTTATATCATCATTCGTAAAATATAATTTCGTAGCCACGTTAGGGAGCTACCATTTGATATTTATGGTGGGGCTAGGATGAAAAATGTTGTTCTGCTTTTTTTTTTAGTTGTAATCTCTGTCCTGCCTTTTTTTTTTTTACTCTATTCGGTCCTGCCTTTTTTTTTACTAGTTTATCCTGATTTTTTTTACACAAATTGTCATCCTGCCTTTTTTTTTTACCCGTGTTGCTCATCCTGCCTTTTTTTTTACTCCAAACTCCTGTCCTGCCAATTTTTTCAAATTCATCCTAGCCCCCCCATAAAAATCAAATGGTAGCTCCCTTAGGGTCAAATGAAGTTTAATATTTATCGTTATCGTCTATAATGACTAGTAAAACAGGTTGGGAACAAACCCTCTACATGGTGTTTATACCTGTATAGAGGAATAATCCTTCTATAGAGAGATAAAAGAGGGGTATTTTTGTTTAGACTGGATTTAAAGCAAAATAGGGCAGAATGGCATTTTCTAGTTATATTTGCTATAATCTATAGCACTATATATGCATCAATTATTGCACTTTACTGTATTCTGTATTTCTTTACCAAAAAATGGCCTGGGATGCCCAGTTTTCTGCTAAAGTGACAGAACTTGCAATCTATTGTATACCTATCTGAACACCTGATCAACAACAAAAGGGACATGCAGTAATGACCTTTAAATTTTTTTTATGTTAAATCTAACAATAGAAATTCTGTTTAGTGAGGCATAACTGAGTGGAATTTACCTGATCATCACAGCTTTCAATTATGGTGTACAATAGATTGTATATTCAGTCAGTTTAGCAGTAAACTGGGCATGTGAAATGAAATTAAGTACATCAATTGGTGCATCAAATGTAGCAGGTTACTGCCATAATAAGTAGAAAATGCCATTCTGCCCGATTTTGCTTTAAATCCAGTCTAAACAAAAATTCCCCTCTATAGAGGGATAATTTTATCCCTCTATAGAAGGATTATTCCTCTATACAGGTTTAAACACCAGTGGCGGATCCATGGGAGGGGGGTTCCGGGGGTTTGACTCCCCCCTTTTTTTTTGACGATCAATGCATTTGAATGGGGACATATAGTTGGAACCCCCCCTTTATCCTGGGTTAGGAACCCCCAACCCCTTTTATAAATGGCTGGATCCACCCCTGAAAATCATATAGAGGGTTTGGTCCCAACCTGTAAAATGGGGTACCCCATAACTTCCCTCGGACAGGGGTTCATGATTACCACTCCCTATCCCCAACTCCCATTTCTCTTCCCTTTTACTCTAAAATTTTCTCCCCTAACTTCTACTTCCATCCCCCTTGCTCCCAGACAAAAAAATTGCAAAATATATTTCCCAGATTATTCGTCCCCCCCCCCCCCCCTCTTTTCGAATTCTTGTCCTTTCACCCAAAATCTTGTTCGCTCCAATTCACGTTCATCCCTTTTACATTCCCACCCTGAGTCTGTTTGTACTCTTCCTTTTATCTAAATCATGCTTTTGTTAGTATAGTTCTATAACAATAAAATAAAGATATATTAAGTTTATTTTTATTGTTTAAAAATAAAGTGACTCACACGAGATCTAAGGTTTTTTTTCTATTTATAATCTTCATAAGATTTACTTCTACCAAATTGGTTACTTTTATTTTCACTCAGACCAGGCTAATTAACGCAGACTACACGAATGAATTTTATTTTTACAGGACATTCGGTCTGGAAACAACCTAGCTTTACCAGACTGAATGAAATTTTACCAGACCAATTTTTTTTACATCTAATTGTATATTATCCGACAAAATACAACAATCTTATGACTTGTTGTGCCCTACTCCTCGCCAAAATGCACAAAAACAAAATCATGTGACAAGAGTGTATATTTTGATGAAAGTTGTGCACAATTGCTTGAATGCATTTCACTGATAAAGAAAATTAATGTCACATTTTATTGGATTTTGACATGAAAATTATTTGTGAACTAAAAATAATTTTGAGTTTTTGTATAAAATATTTCCTGTATCTTCTTTCATTTTCATATATCTTTTGGTTTTCAATTCTAGTGTTTATATTTCATAGCTGTATTTTGTGAACCTGCTTGGATTTTTTTTTTATGTTTCTATTGTATTTGATCGGCAAACCCGGAAATTGACCTTATCCGTTCCCGGAATCTGATCCGGTATTGTTTATATTTCCGGTTGATGGATGCCATTGTTGTTTTTGTCAGTCAGATATGTTTTTATTCGGATTTACACATTACGTGTATGCAATTTTCGGCATAAAGCTAGCGGTTGAACAAAATAAACATCGCTGTCATGAATAATAAAGATGAGAATGAATTTTGAGATCGTTTGGGAATTTTGCTCCCAATATTGGGAAAAATGTAGGGTTTTTAAAAAAATCCACGAAAAAAACAACACCGGACATTCGGACCGGAATTCAACAAAATTTTACCAGACCTATCCATTATTCACCAGATTTGTCCGACGGTCCGACGTATTTCGTGTAGTCTGTTAACGGTAACGGACCTGCACATGATACCCCCTTTTCTCACTTCCTGATCCCTCATTCCCATGTTCCCTTATCCCTGTCCACCCGCTCAAGTAGTCCTATAATATATGAACTCAGGGGCATTATTTTCTATTTCTGTTTCCTTTTTACTGATTTTGCTATTTTTCTTCTTTTTTTTTATTGTCAATGTGCCTCCAAAAAAAAAAAATGAAAATATCAGCATGAAAACGTTAAATAGTGAATATATAATGCAAAGGCATATATTATAGGACTACCCGCTCAAGGGGTTCGATTGTTTCGTTTGTTTTCTTGAGAATATATAAATGGCCTGATTTGTAAATTATAACCACTACAGTACGAGGCAATACGTTTTATTGATGGATTCGTCTTGATCACAATTTTTTTACAATTAAACACCCCCCCCCCCCCCCCTGTCTCTTTTGTATAAAAAATTTCATAACGTCAAGTATCAGGTTTAAACATACACGTAGGGCTTATCTTGTTGACCAAATAACACATACATTTGAGTTGAAAAATTCATTATTGTTTTGTGCTTAGTATTTTTAAACACAAAATTTGTATATCCCATATTCCAAACAGGTTACAAGACACCTCAGCATAATTTGGTTGACGAGGAGTACAAATGTAGCTCAGCTGCATTTTAGAATTTTTAGGCATAGAAATAACTTGTCCC